AAAAGTAAAATTTGGTGAGGTGGCGTCCACCTCACCCAAAATGTCAGGCCACATTGGATTTTAATAAGTGAGCCCTTGTCATGGTGGACTTCCGCTAAAAATAGGGTAATTGTTTCTACTTTACTAACGGTAAGGCTTTAAATGGACCGATAGTATAACGGAGGTTTAAAGCATACTATTTATCAAAGTAAAGAGGTAAATCAGACCCTTTTTCCCTTTTATTATAAATATTAACTCAACATTGGTTTAACTTTAGACTTAACATTGTCATTATCAATTTTTTAGGAAGTATATGGCCAACCTTTTCATTCCGTAATCTCTAAAAGACCAAAAGACTCAACGTATAATATATGGTATTTTGATAAGTCTTTGAAAGGTCGTGATAAAAGTAATATTGCGTTTTGTTTCCAGTATTAGATTATAGAAAATAACCATAATTTTCATAAGATATTCATACATAAGTCCTCATAAATCAAAATAAGACATAAGTAAACTTTTGCAGGACATGATTTCTTTATTTTTTGAGCCAGCTAACTAGAAAGAACATAACATTCATCATCTTTATTGTCTAATTATATTTACGTATATTTCAAAAAAATATATACTTACAGATATAGTTACACGCGCAAAGCGCGTACCCTAAGACTAGTTATACTAAAAGCACGAAGGTCTTTAGTGAAATGTCGTTCGTCTTTTTTACCCTTTTAAAATATGATTCACACTAGACAAAAAAGCCACTTGTTTATTTTTCTAATATTTAAGAAGAGTCATTTAATAAATTTTCTACAATTTAGGAATAAGCATATTAAATTCTTCCTCATTTGAACCATATAAAAAGTCCTAATAAATTCGTTTCCTTATTTATGTAACATAACAACTTTGTTAAAGACAATTAATAGGAAAATCGAAAAATCAAGTCTGTTATAAAACAATAAAAGAAGAAGAAGAGTATTGCAGAGAAAAGTAGAGGGAGAGAATTCTTATTGATTTGGGATGAATTACAATGGAATAGAAACCTCTATTTATAGGGAGAGAGTGACTTAGCCACCAAATAATAAACCCTAGAATCTCTCTAAATATAGACATTCACCATAAATAAAATTCTATTTATAACACTCCCCCTTGAATGTCTATTCAACAGATAATGTGCCTCGTTAAAACCTTAACTAAAATAAAACACAGTGGGAAAAAAATTCTAGAGAAGGAAAAGGAGTACACATATCTAATAATACGCCTTTTGGTTGCCTCGTTAAAAACCTTGCAAGGAAAACCCAGTGGGACAAAACCTTGTAAGGGAAAAAGAGTACAACGCGTATTAACTCCCCCTGATGAGAGCATCAATTCACATACATGAGCATTTGCATTCCAATCTTGTGCACCATCTTCAAAGATCTTTGGTAGATATTTGATAAACAAATTAGCCATATTAACTTGAATGAATATATTGCACCTTGAAATCATCGTTCTTGATAGAGATGAATTGTCTTCATATGATCTTGTTGGAATCGTCAGTTCAATATCTTCACATAGAGGTGAAAACTCTTGCTATCATATTATCATGCATATAATTATAGCAAGATACATTTGTGCACAAATTGCACTGAGGATGTAGTACTTCATTACTATGAATTCTATATGCTTTAAGCAATTTAAATCATTCAAGGATTGTTAAGTCATATAAGCCATATAATAGACTTTAAGTTTTCATGTCATGCTAGACATATAAGATATCGAAAACTGATTGCACATACCATTGACTTTATACTTTCAAGTGTATGAACTACATGTTCAAAACTACATGTCTTTCATAGGAAACCAAATTCTACTTGAATTGTTTCTCCAGACTTGAGATCCTCATATATATTTAGCGCTATTATAGATGTCGTCGACAACCATTTTATACCGGTTCCAACCTCCTTATTTTTCATAAAGACACAACATAGAGATCTCTTCATTCATATATTCAGGTACCTGAATCTCTCATGAGATTTTATGAAGTGTTATGTCATGTGATCTTCTAGATCACTTGCCTCCTTTATTATGATCATTTAGATCATTTGCTCATCTTCTTTGTCAAGAAGTTTGTTTGAAACCGATTTGTCTATACGCTTTAAGCGTACCATAGACTTTGTCCTTCTAGGACTTATTCTAATAGGAGCATTTGCAGTGAGAATATAGTTACTTTCTTTGGGTCAGCAAATGCGTCTGGCATGCTTTGCAATATATTGCAAATGAATTATCCTTTTATGAACTTCAAGTTCATATTATCTTATTCGAGGATCTAGATGTACAAATGATAATTCATTCCACGTAACTTTTTCTCAATTATTTATCATGTCTCCCCCTCATGTTAGAAAAACTAACTTGTTTCCTCAACTTTGAGAACCCATCTTTGTGCGTTATGGTGTTAATCAAAATATACACCGCACATCAATAATAATAAGATGGAATTATTTGGTTTCTGACCCTGAACCACTTATTAGGGGAGAAAATAATATACTTTGGTTTATAATGTATATCAAACCGATATAGATAACTTTGTTCTCACAAGCAATTGTTTAGCTATTAAGTAGAGGCACTTAATAAATTATTTTGCTAAACCAACTGTGATGTAAACCAACTTATCAAGATAAACTGTCTTGAATGGAAAATATGGAAATTATGCACGAAATTAAATTACTGAGCAAGTTACCTCGCAAACACCAGGTTGCAGGTTAATAATAATCTCACATGTAACCATCTAATAGATGCATCTTATGTGGTATATATGGCAGGTGAATGGGCCCATATTCACCTTTGATATTTCCAGAATTCATGGGATTCGATCCCAATTTTGTTGGCTTATTAATTAATGAGAACAAGCAATATTAGAGAATTCGTAAAGAACTTTCTAGTTCTTTAATATTTACCCATATGAGTTCTCTTTTATTTTTGCACATCATACTTAAATTGATATGGCTAAACCAATTATGCCAACTGAATAAATTATCAATACTGATAAACTTCAGATTTACACCATGACGTGTGCAATTATCAATGAACTCCAAGTTTATTATGATATGGGTTTTTATATCAATAAACTTCTACTTTATTGTGGCATTCTTTTATTTATGTAGTACAAATTGGAGAATAAAGTGGGTAGCTTTTCACATACATATTACCCCGCTACAAGTTGTAGTAATAGAAGATATTAAATCTTTCTTTTATTTATAGTCTCAATATAATCAACCGCTTTCGCGTATACTTTGAAAATTGAATAAGTTTCTTTGAGACTTACTACAACACAATACCTTATTGGCAATTAATTGTGTTTCTCCAAAATAGTACAATTGGCTCTTGCAGAGTTCTCAATTAATTTTGTAGTACCACATATTCATCAACACCCATATGGTGAATATCTCTTTTAAAGAGAAAGTTATACCATTATGGTTATGGTTAAAATTATATGCAAGATCTGTTTCTTGCATTACCGTTGTCTTTTAACAATCACAATGCCAAAATATTTTGGCGTACAATAGGTACGTGACCAATGACCATTCATGCCATAATAATGACATTATTTTCTTATATCATCTCAAACCTTCTTTTAGAGGTGAGTGCGGTATATTCACTACCACTAGCACGTTCATATTCTTTGAAGATTGAATATTTATTCATAAATCAGATGTTGTCACATTCACATCATGAATGGACCATAATCATCTATACGTGCTTTACAAAATCTCATGTCAAATCGATGATAAATATTTTTCACAGAGTGAAAGATTATTTTGAGAATCCTTATTGTTCTCATTACCACAAATGATGACGATTATAATTTCGTCTATTGCCACGTCCATATCCATTAATACATTCATAGTAATAATATTGTCTTCTTTCAGACTTATCACATACTGCTATCACATTCTCTTAAGGGAATGAGAATGGAGCAAATTCAATGAGACTGGTTTTCAATTCTTTGCCCACAATCATACATGAATTTGATCATGGCGAGGCATAGAAATTTTACCACTTTAGGTGGTTATAATTTCTTATAAACTTCATTAGAGTTATAATCAAACTTTGTTGTCTTTGCTTGTATTTAAAATTAAAGTATAGAATAAAAGAGAAAAATACGATAAAATACTTACCTTAAATCCAGAATTTAATCATGAAGGAAGTTCATGGAATAATTGACAATCATTATGCTCAATCCCAAAGCTTCTACTCAATTGGTTAGATTCTCGTGCTGATAACGTGTTTTAAAACAATAAAAGAAGAAGAAGAGTATTGCAGAGAAAAGTAGAGGGAGAGAATTCTTATTAATTTGGGATGAATTACAATGGAATAGAAACCTCTATTTATAGGGAGAGAGTGACTTAGCCACCAAGTAATAAACCCTAGAATCTCTCTAAATATAGACATTCACCATAAATAAAATTCTATTTATAACAAAGTCAGTATAGTAAAACCGGTCAAATTTTCAAAAAAAAAGAAAAAGAAAAAGTTAAAAAACTTAGAAGGACATAGGAGAAACTAAAATTGCATCTCTCTCTCAATAAGGAAAGAACTAAAACTTACACAAATTAAAATTATATTGCATCTCTCTACGAACAACGAATTATTATTGAGGAGATATAGAACTTCAAATAAATACTACGGAAAAAGGGTTAAAAATGCCCTAAACTATTGGAAAAAGTTTAAAAATATCCTTCATTCATTTATTGGGCTAAAAACTCCATCCACTTTTTGGTTCACTTATGCCCTTTGACCGTTAGGTCAATGCTGAATTATAAATAATTATTATTTAACTTCCACGTGACAACTTCTTATTGGACGAAATTAAAACATCTAACCTATTAGAAAGACCTACCCATATTTACCCGTTTTTCGAACTAGCCCGCCCCTAATACTAACCCTACCGGAATAAAAAATTCAACTAAAAAATAGACGCACCACATCGATTCAAAAGCATATTTTATATATTGTCACCAAGTTTTTTTTAAACTATTTCGGTATTTTTAGTCCAAAAGAATAACAATTGGGTTCCGCACTCCATTTTTGTCTCAAAGTACCAAACACACCCCAAATTTCTTCACCGATCTCTATCTCTCTCTCTCCGGATCTCCTTCTATCCCCGTCTAGTACTCCACTATAAATCAGTGGAATGATTTGTAACAAACGTTGAGCCAAGAATTTGGTTAACTGTTCCTAATATCAAAACTGTTTCGACGAAGAATTTTTATTTGCAACCATGTCAGGGTCAGGTACGATATTCAATTGATTTGCTTACAAATATCCAAATTCTCAGATCATGATAATTTTAGGAAAATTTGATAGGAGAAAGTGGAGGGAGGATTCGCCACAGTGGTAGGGCAGCAGTGGTGGTCCTCGGCGACATTGGACGTAGCCCTCGTATGCAATATCACGCTCTTTCCCTTGCTCGTCAGGTACGCCAATTCCAGATTTAAAACACCTTTTAATACTCACATACACACATCCATCCAAATTAATGCATTTTTTGACATTTTTAACGTTCTGTTATGAATTAATGTGTTTAATGTTGAGCATTAACCTCTGAACCTGAGTTTAATAGTTTCTGACTGGTTATTAGGTTTATGGTGCAATTAGCTAGATTAATGCCCTTTAGCTATAAATTATATGCTATTTAGTTTTCTGTAGTTAATTTTCTTCCATTAGGATCAGACGTGTAGTTAGCTGGAATTATGACCGTTAGCTATAAATTCATCCAAAGAACATTGTGCAATAGGGTAAAAGTAATTGTTTCTGTGTATATATAAATTTTTGAACCCCCTTGAAATAAATAAAAAACATTTAGTGTAGTGGCAAAAGTGGTTCAGAAATACTGGATCTGACATTTACCGATTTTTCGTCTGGCTCTGCCATTGTGGTCTGCTATCTGTTTGATGACCTTGATTAGGTGGTTATTTTTGGAAATAGAGCAGAAGAAAAATGTGTGAAGATGTGAATTTCTTAGTTGAAGTGGTCATTGATTTAAGCTGTATTTATGTTGACCGAGTTCATTTTAGTTGCAAAAAGACTATCTTTAACATACTCTGGAACTGTCGTTCGTGAGACTTGTAGTAATCTTCGATATCACGATATGTAGAATTGTAGACTGATTTTCTTGGACTTCCAATCTTATTTATTTGGAGGTTAACATTGTGCTGTTGCGTATGCGTCCATTAATTACTAATGTTATTTAGTATCATGGATGCAGATTTGCTGTTGTAAGAGAGAATAGTAAAATCTCTTATCTGTATTAAGTGATTATATATATTTTTGACTTTTGATTTGCACCGGGTGTCGGAGTCTCTAAGAGCCCCGACTAATCCCGGGGGTGCACAGGCCCTCGGCAAGGAGTTTCCCGCAAGTGCACCACTGTTAATTCGGGTTTTACCCAGTCCGATGGCCCTCAGAAATTGTTTGCACCCAGTGGGTTTCGAACTTGAGACCTTGAAAGGGAGCAAACCCCAAGGCTCAAGTCTATTGTCACCAGGCCAACCCCTGAAAGTTTATTAAGTGATTATATATACAAGTGACCATGAGAAAACCATCTTTTTATTTTTCAAAGAAGTGGTTGATTTGATCCAGGGCCCTTTACATTCTTATGTTTATGCATTTATCTTTTGCAGGCTCATCTAGAGGTCGACATTGTTGCATATGGTGGTAAGTGTCATGCAACAACCCAGTTTAAAAGAACAGTTTTATCTGCGTAATGAAGTGAAAAAAGTAAGAGAAGCATTACCGGAGTCTTTCTTAGAGAAGAAGAATGATTTTTTTTATTTATTTTTCTTCCATTTCATTGTCCTAGATAATATTGTAACATTACTGGCTCTACTTGATCAATCTTTCTTCAGATTTACTATTCTTCTACCATTGCAATCTAAGAACATTTTGAAAAGACGTGAAACCAATTTCCAGTCATTGTGTATAATATTGTATTAGTTGACATAAGTGCTAGGTTTAATAATCCAGTACAAACATTATAATTTTTCCTTGACTTTATTCTGCCTGGTTGTTCTGATTTTCAGTTTTTTATCTTGAGTAGGTTCGGACCCTCATTCTGCTTTAAAAGAGCATAAGTCTGTTCACATCCATGAAATGGTAATCACTGAATGGTCTAGCTGTTATTGTGGAGTGAAAAACTCATGAAAGACATACTCTTGGGTTGTGTGAGTTGTTTGACTTCAACTATTTTGCCATCATGCAGACACAGTGGCCATCAAATCCTAGAAGCTTGCCAAGGATACTCCGTCCTCTATTGCTCATATTTAAGCCATTGGTCCAGTTTCTTATGCTTCTGTGGTACTTGTGTGTTAAAATTCCGGCACCTGATGTTTTCATAGTTCAGGTGAGCTATGAAGCTACGTTAGCTACTTTCATATATCATTACATTTAGTGTCTTTTATTTTTTTTAAGAAAAAAAACCAGAAAGCGAAGTTTCTGATATTTTGCGAGCCAAGCATTAAGATGAAGGCTTCTTTTCTTTCTCAAAGTTAACCAGAACCCTTGTCAACACTGAGGTTGGATTCTCATTGGTGCTTGAACTGCTTGTTCTTCCTTAGTTTTCTAACATATTCTATCTGGTGGGTGCTGAGCTTAGCTTTTATTATTATCCACCCAAGTGCTTAAGGCATGTCATATTAGTAGTTGAGGATTTGTCAGGCACAAAACTAAAGTCTTCTTGACCTATATGTTCAGTGAGATGTTCAGGTCACTTGATTTGATGTGCTTGAGCTTTAATTACATCAATTAATACAGAATTTCTCCTTTTCCAGAATCCACCTTCTGTTCCTACACTGGTTGCTGTAAAATTGGCCAGCTGGATTAGACGTTCCGCATTCATTATAGATTGGCATAACTTCGGATATACTCTTCTAGCATTGTCTCTCGGGAGAAATAGTCGGTTTGTGGCTTTGTATCATTGGTAATTTGTTCATCCTCGTAAGTTATAAAACTCCATTTGGGTTTAGCATCTGGTTTGTGAACTGTGCAAGTAAAACAAAATTTGGATATTTGGATAGGATTGAGAAGCATTTTGGGAAAGTGGCTAATGGTTCCTTGTGTGTGACGAAGGCAATGCAACATGAATTGGCTCAAAACTGGGGAATTAGGTAGGCCATTGAGTTACTTGGAATATCTAACATTCTTATTTTCTTTGTTTATTGACTTGTGCATCATCTTTTGTACTTTCTGGATTTCCAGTGCCACTGTTCTGTATGATCAGCCTCCTGAATTTTTCCGACCTGCTTCTTTGGAGGAGAAGCACAAGGTGAATTATCTAGTCCACAACTTCCCTAAGATTATACATACTTTATAATTTAATCTTCAAGTGTCAATTGCAGTTGTTTTGTAGGATTGATAAGAGTCTGAGAACGCCTTACAGCCTTCAAGATTGTCTTAGCAATGGTACTGTAATGAGAATTTCCTAGTGATGTGTTGTTTGTGATGAAGAATTGATATGAATATGGCATTTTTGCAGAGGTACTAACAACAGACAATGACAATCCTAATGTAACTCTATTTACAACTCAGACTGGCTCAGATATTTCCTTGAAGTGGAACAGACCAGCGCTCATCGTAAGCAGTACGAGCTGGTGAGTTGTTTGTAAACTTAATTTAATAGCCTATTGTGTTCCGACACAGTCAACCTTTTCTTTTTTTTTTTTAATCACAAATTTTATCCTCATATAATGTGAGCATGACCTTTCTTCTTGGATACCTTTTGCCCTAATCTTCATCCTGGTTTTCAGAAAATCAAAACTTGATAGTGGTGATCTACAGTGTTAAGTTGTCTCACATTTGTGGGATGTGGGGTTGGTCTCCTTACATGGTCTTAAGCAATCCTCACCTCATGAGCTAGCTTTTTTGGTTGCGTTAGGCCGAACGTCCATGTCTTTACATACAGCAAACTTGAACTTAATCGCTATCAGTTCAATGTTTCTGAATATCAAGAAATTATGGGTCAAGATGATTGGTCAAAACAAAAATCAAACAGATAATGGAAGAGTTCTGTCTCTTATTTGTACCATGTGCTGAAAAATTCTGTTTCTTATTTGAACCATGCGGTCATGCTCCTATTTCAAAATGCAAAGATGGTAAAACAGTTTCAGCTATCGGTGATAGATACATGACATTACAGTACTGATTTGTAGGACACCGGATGAAGATTTTAGCATTCTCCTAGAGGCAGCACTAATGTATGATAGAAGGGTTTCTGCATTACTGAATGAGGATGACCTAAAGAGGGAGGAAGTTCTCTGGCAGGAAATCAAGGGTGGGAAGCAATACCCTAGGTTATTATTTATAATTACAGGTAGCTTCCCTCATGTGTCAAAGAGAAATTTTACTTCTTATTTTGTTGGCTAACTTTAGCAGACATGTTATTCTTACTCTGGGTTCTTTTGAAGGCAAAGGGCCTGAAAAGGAAAAATATGAACAGAAGATAGCAAAACTCAACCTTAAACGTGTAGCATTTCGTACTATGTGGTTGGCGCCAGAGGATTACCCATTGCTTCTTGGTATGAGAGCTACCGACCTGTGTCATCTTCTTGTGTTCACCCTAAAATTGTCTCAAATCCTTGGTTCCCTTGTATAGGATCAGCAGACCTTGGTGTTTGCTTGCATACTTCCTCTTCGGGTTTGGATCTTCCAATGAAGGTTTGGTTTCCAAATTCTTATAGAGCACAAGTCAATTTTTTTCCCGTGCTGCTTAAAACTTCTGTAGGCCTCATTATTGTAATTTTCCTTTCAGGTTGTGGATATGTTTGGCTGTGGATTACCTGTCTGTGCTGTTTCCTACTCTTGGTAAGATGCATGAACACGCGTTCCCCTTTTTCCTTTTCATTTCCTATGGCCTCGACATTTGGAAGTCCTTAAAAGTATATACCATGAAAAGTTGCATGTTGACCTTTCTTCACTGCCCTTTATCAAGTATCAACGAGCTGGTCGAAGTTGACAAGAACGGCCTACTCTTCTCTTCATCATCGGAACTGGCTGATCAATTTTTGGTAAGCTCCTAAATAGGCAAAAATGGACCTTCTATCTCTTTCTTTGTTCTTTTATGTTAGTTTTACATTGTAGATTTTCTTAGATTCAGTGACACTCAAGATATTGCCACAGCAAAGCCCCCAGGGCTTTGGTCTAGTAGTAAGAGCGCAACATGTGATGTGTAGGTTAGGCGCAGGGGTTCGAATGTTGCTGCAGATAGAAGCCTGGTTTTTAAGTGGATAAGGGTAGAGGGGGCCCCATTGTAGTTTCAAACTGCGCGTCACTGGCCCTCCAGATTTCTCGGTAATAAAAAAAGATATTGCCACAGCGAACATTATCAAGTATCGATCCCCTCAAACGATTTATGCTTCATACTTGCATGTCTGGACTTGTTATGTACCTTATTCTAGCATTAGCAGTTCCTAGAGTTAACCAGTGAGCTTACTTCATGAGAATATTCTATTATATTTGCTTAACTGTGAAAACCTGTGCAGATGCTGTTTAAGGGATTCCCAGGTGAAAGTGATGAGTTGAAGTCGCTGAGACAGGGAGTATTGGCAAGCAGATCTTCTGTTAATTGGGCTACAGAATGGGAAGAAAATGCCAAACCCTTAATATCCAGGGCAAGTAGATTTTTGCATACATTTTTTGCGTCTCTTTTTCCTCCTCCTTAGTAAGATGGTCTTGTTCATTGTGTTGCAAATGGCATTTAGATATCATGTATTTAAATGGCATCTAAATACAGCATGCGGCATGCATTATTCAGATATAACTAAACTCTAACGAAAAAAATGTTCAACTACTCTTGACAGTCTGGTATTTAATTATGCAGGTTATCTTTGAGAACTCGAGCTGATTTCAAAGTGAAAATTTCAGAACTCCAATGTCTATTATCCCGCGTTTCTCAAGGATTTTGGAAATTATACGTTCACATAGTGTCGGGCTGCACAGAGCAAAAGAGGGTCCCTGCTACCCCACCCCCATCCCCTCCCAGGCTCCGCAGAGCAACCAATTTTTGTTGAGCTATTAGGATCATTAGTCACATATTTCTATTTTGGTATTGTCAGAACTGTAGTTGTATAGCTGTAGAAGTGGACATGATACACTTGAAAATTCACTTGCCTTTACCTCTCTTTTTTCTTCTTAGTAGTTTAACTTCGTTGTTTGGAAAACATATACTATGTATTAGGGAAAAACAGGCCTGCAATTTTGACTGGTAAATGGGGTGGCGCAGGCAGTGAAATTTCATTCCCCCCCCCCAGATTACTGCTTTTCTTGAAAGAACAGAGAACAGCAAAACATTTAATGTAAACTAATAATAGATTAATTGGCCAGGTAGAGTTAATAGCTAAAAGATTGTGAATGTTCTTTTGTGAACTATTCTGTAAGCTGACTTCGCCCATCATTATTCTTTCCTCCTTACCCTGAACATGTGGCTATGAATGATCATTTATCCAGCAACATATTCCAGAATGCATTTTGTGTCCCAGAATACACATTTTGTGTGTTGTTCGAGGGTTTTGGGGGGGGGGGGGGGGGGGGGAGGAAGAGAAATAGTGTTTGTGTATTTGATAGCTGTAATACAAGATAGGCACAATAACAGCTTTAGTCCTTGTTGGTATTATTGAGGTCTCTAAATACAAACAATTAATATATGTGAATAACGTTTCCGGAAAATAATATGATAAATGATGTAACAAATAGGTTTATTGCAAATAGAGGAGCTCTACGAAAGTGTCACGCGATAGGAGGAAGCTCTATAACAAGCTTAAGAATAGCAATAATATATAAGAGTGAATGTTGAGCCTCTAATGCTCGATATATCCATTAAAAGGAGTATTAGAGAAAGAGAAATGTTAAATAAAAATTAGACAAAATTACCAATAATCACATCCGCGGGACGGTTTAACTAGCATACACATAAAGAATAAAATAAGGGAAACTTGCTTGAGATAATTTAATTATGTTTACTTAGACCTCTATATGCACTAATTTATAAATGGGAAACTATCGTCATTGAAAATATGAAAGAGATACGAATTAAACCTAAAAATCGCATTGAGAGAACTCTCAGAGTGTTATAAGCAATAAAAGAAGAAAAGAGTATTGCAGAGAAAAGCAGAGATAGCGAATTCTTATTGATTTGGGATGAATTACAATGAAATAAAATCCCTCTATTTATAGGGAAAAAGTGACTCATCATAAATAAAATACTATTTATAACACTCCCCCTTGAATGTCTATTCAACAGATAATGTGCCTCATTAAAATCTTAATTAGAATAAAATTCAATGGGAAAAAGTTCTAGTAAACGAAAAAGAGTACACATATCTAACAATACGCCTTTTCGTTGCCTCGTTAAAAATCTTGCAAGAAAATTCAGTGGGACAAAACTTTGTAAGGAAAAAAGAGTACAATGTGTATTAACTCTCCCTGATGACACAATCAATTCACATCTTTGAGCCTTCATATTTAAATCTTGTGAACCCTCTTCAAAAGATCGTTGGTAGAGATTTGATAAACAAATCAACCATATTAACTTGAATGAATATGTTGCACTTGAAATCATCATTCTTGATAGATATGTAATGCCTTCATATAATGTCGTGGAATAGCCTTTTCAATATCTCCATAGAGGTAAAAAAAATTTCGCTATCACATTATCATGCTTATAGTTATATCAAGATACATATGTGCACAAATTGCACTTGGTATGTGGTACTTCAGGACCAAGAATTGTATATGCTTTATGCGATTTACATCCTTCATGTTGATTAAACAATGACAGGAACATCGAATTTGTGTACCTGTTAACAACAGCAGAAGTTTTTGCAGAATCCGTTCCAATCAATTGCCTTAATCCGACTTCGTCTCTCTTGGAAACGAAGTTCTTGTTTATGACATAAAGGAAAGAGAGGGGTTCCAAGAGAAAAAATTGTCGCTCAAATTCAATCGCACGTTCCCATTATCTCTGTAACGTGCAATAGTTTTTTTATTTATTTATCTGTGTTTTAACTTCCCTAGCTAACCTCTTTAAGGTTTTATCTTCTATATATGGATACGGTCAGTCCATATGGGCGACCGTGACCCAAACCGAATATCCAACATCTCCTACTTCGCACATGATGGGCTAGACCCAAGCTAGTGCCATGTGAATAACACACATAATTCATACTGGTAAATAAATCGTGAGACCTGCAAGCATTAAGAGCTACAATATTCTTACACCATTTAAAGTTGTTTTATAGCTCTATGTAGAAATCCAATCACATGCGAAAAGGATTCACTACTGCCATGAGAATCTTATTATCACTCGCAATACCCCAAACATTGTTGGCTACTCTAGTAGCTAGTTATCTGATCCTTCATCCTCTAAAAGAGGTGAACTTGAGTTCATATATAACATTGTATCCACAATTACACCCAATACCATCATGGTAAGTGTAATGGTCAACCTACGAATACAAATTAAATCAAAAATATTGTTTGTCTTCCCTTTCTACTCAAATCTTTCCATTCCAAATCAACTGCTTTTCTAGACTGCACTGCATCGCCGAATCACTCATGGCTATTAGTGATATGCTAAAGTAGCAACACCGATTGACACTTCAAGAAACAGTAAAAGGTCAAAGGGTATTCCAATAAAAGTTAATGTAACTTCTTTGGGATCTCACACAATGAAGAAGCAGGGATTCATTCTTCCATTATCCCATTGGTCGATAGCACACGTGGTATGAAACACATGTTACAGCGTTCTCACCTTATATTGGCGCGTGTGTCTTATTTTAATCATTCAACACCGTACAGATCTTGGTCTAGACACCTTCAAGTGTCTAACCCGATTTTCTCACTTCAATAATCCTTAAACCATCTTCTTAGAGAAACTCACATCTGGCTTACAAAATAAGTCATAATCGAATAGTGAAATTCGTAAGTCTGATTAGTTGTCAAGAACGACCTCTACAAGTAAATATAATCTCGCATTATCCAAGGTTCTATAAGGTCTCATATCTTCACGATTCTTAACGTAAGAGGTGATTGCTCGTGTGATAGAGCCAATCTCACGGCTTGTTCGACACACTTTATCAACAAAACATTCATCACATGTATACGAGATATAAGCATAATTCAAGAGTAAAATATTGATGAGCATATTATAATTCTAAAGTCATTTTACAATACATAAATACGTTCATATCCTTGGCAAACCTAGAGCCATAACATGTTTTTCAAACAAGTCTCTAGATATCGCCTTTGTAAAAGGATCAGCTATCATGCTTCGCGTAGGAATGTACTGTAAATTTATCTCTCCACTTGCTACCATGTCTCTTACAAAGTTATACTTGATGTCAATGTGTTTGGTCTTGCTGTGATTCTTAGGATCTTTTGTATATGCAATAGCCGCTTGACTATCACAATATAGAGTCATGGGACCCTGAGAGTTCTTTGTAATATCCAAATGCTCAAAGAATCTCTTCAACCAAACAGCTTCTTGTACTGCAGACGCACAAGCCACGAACTCAGCTTCCATTGTTGAAAGGGCTGTACAGGTTTGTTTCTTACTTTTCCATGATATAGCACCACCATTAAGTAAGAAGGCATAACCGGATGTTGATTTTCTATCATTCCGATCACCAGCCCAATCAGCATCTGTATATCCTCTCAAGTATAAATCATTTCCACTATAACATAGTGAATAATCTGCAGTTCCCTTCAGGTATCTGAAAATTCTCTTCACAGCTTTCCAATGATCTCTTCCAGGATTGGATTGATACCTGCTAACCAGACCTACGGCATAACAAATGTCTGGGCGAGTACACATCATAGCGTACATCAAGCTCCCGACAGCACTTGAATATGGAACTCGAGACATGTCTTCCTTTTCATTTTCAGTCTTGGGACACATTTCAAGGCTTAAAGTTTCACCTCTCGCTATAGGAGTATCCATGGATTTGCAACCATTCATGCGAAAACGCTCCAAAATTTTCTTTATATAAGTTTCTTGAGATAGACTCAATAACTTTTTGGAACGGTCTCTTTGGATCTTAACTCCAAGGATATAGTCTGCCTCGCCCATATCTTTCATGTCAAATGACTTTGAAAGCCATGACTTGATAGTTTTCAAATACTCCAAATTGTTTCCGGCCAATAAAATATCGTCCACATAAAGAGAAAGAATTACAAACATCCCATTGGACTTCTTCACATAAATGCAATGGTCTTCATTGATCATGGTGAAATCATATGAGATCACCTCCTTGTGAAATCTCAAATACCATTGCCTTGAAGATTGCTTCAGGCCATAAATAGATCTTTTCAATTTACAGACCTTCTTTTCTTGGCCTTTAACGATGAAGCCTACAGGTTGTTCCATGTAGATTTCTTCGTTTAGTTCTCCATTGAGAAAAGCTGTCTTCACGTCCATTTGATGTAATTCCAAATCCAAACGTGCAACAATAGCCAAAAGTAAGCGAATTGAGGTAAACTTCACAACTGGTGAAAATGTTTCCTCATAATCATTCCAGCTTCTTGAGTAAAGCCTTTTGCCACCAATCGTGCCTTGTATCTTTCTATTGACCCATCCGCTTTGCGTTTAACTTTGAGAACCCATTTGTTCCCAATGGCTCTACGCCCAGACGGAAGATCAACTAGATCCCAGACTTTGTTGGTTTTCATGGACTCTAATTCTTCTTTCATTGCTTTCATCCACTCATCTTTTCCAGGGCTCGATAAAGCCTCAGTCACATACTTTGGCTCATCCATTTCTGTGGGAGATACCAAGAAAGCATAATCTTCAATTTCATAAGTATGTTTGGGTATATTTTTCCTGGCACTCTTTCGTAGTTGAAATTCAGGTTCGTCAGAAGGATTTTGGGATTGGGAGTTCCCACTCCCACTCCCACTCGGATCAAGAATAAGATCTTGATCAATTTGATTATCAACTGTGTCAGAAGACACTTGTTGACTATCTGAGTTCAACATTTCATAAAGAGGCTCTCCATTCTTTACCTCGCCCTTCTTTGAAAAATCATTTTCCAGAAATGTGACATCTCGTGATTCAATCTCAGTAACACTTCCATCCTCTAATTCACTAGTGAACACATACCCTTTGAAGTGTTCTGAATATCTTATA